GCAGATTGAGTTATGAAACTTATCAACGGGGCTCGCTTTATTTTTCTCTTGTTCGAATCATCAACAAATAGTCCCTGAAATCTGGTTTGATTATTCATAATAAATCTACGACTTGTTTATATATTTGCGACATTGCGAACCTATTTGTGATTTCCTTTGTTGGTAGGGGTAGACGTGGGCCATGTTGAAGGCACATGTTATGATTTTTTATGCTCTACGGGATGCTTATTTATGTGTTTATTGGTTAATGCCCCATAGGCATTTAATGCATGTGTTAATTACGCTCAATCTCAATTGTGTCTTTTTCGAATGTGGCGTCGTTGATATGGCTACGGTTATAAGGAAATTGTGAACAGTCGAGATCTATTATTAATTCATCCTACGACCTAATCCTTTCTTTGAACATGTAAATATATGCTTGTTTTAGCGTCCCTTCTGTTTTTATTTCTTTTGTGCCCTTATCTTATTTTTCCTCGGCGATTGTTTTGTTCTCTTTCGTTACCTTTCAAATCTTTTGTATTGAGGTACGTTCTTTCTACTTTACATTACATTTATGTCTTGCTTATTTTTTTATGTCCCATGGTTGTTTACCCATGTTTATTGAGAAGGGTCTGAGTGAGATTCAAGGTTGGTTTTTCATGGCATAGATTTATTGTGTTCAGAATATTTTCAACGAATATACGGTTTAGACTTCCCTCTGTCACCATTTTCGTCATATTCTTTTCTATTTTGCATGAAAAATAGTACCTTTCCTTGCTTAAGGTGATTGAGGATTTAGTCCCAATGACCTTTGTTTGTTGTTATTTCTTTAATGCTATGGTGGATATGGAAAATGCTAACTCCATATTATTATTTTTATTTGCATAGGTACTCATAGTATCCATATCGCCATGAAGATTGATTTTAACCCGGTCTCAAGTGCTAAAAACCTTTGGCTCCTCTTCTTCTAAAGGACTTGGACTCTGAGAGTTTTAAGGAGATTGAAGGCGTACAGTATAGCTCACATCCAAACATCTGATTGGGGACCGGGGCAACGCCCATGAAGCTCCGGCGGAAAGGGAAGGCCTGCCAGGCCGTATGCCCAAGGGTGNAGAAAAAGAACAAGAGAAAGAATGGCGCTCTGAATTTAAGGGGAAACCATGCTGCTTTGACAAACCAGGCAGGCCCCAAGGACGAAAAGCATCATCAAGGCATCAACCACAGTCTCCCAATCATCCAAGCACCCATTATCATAATCATCCCCCTCATTGTCTTCACTCATGCTACCCGAAAAACATCCGTTAATACTACCAATGCTGCTTTGGCTGCTGCATCTACCACTCCCAGTAAAACTTACTCCTGAATTGTCAATGCACAAGACACTGGACAAGTAAATCCAACTCCACAATACAAGTCCAAAATGAAAAATCTTTGTAACCCAAAAAAATTTGATAAAAAAGGGGTCCAATGTAAACAACCAAACAATGCTACTATTGTATTGTATCAGTTTCTCGGTATCACTTCAAATCAAAAGGAAAGAAAGTGAATCCAGAAAGCAGCACCCAAGAAGAATCATAGCCAATTGCCTGCATAGAAAATGTCCCTTAATAATTGGTTCCTATAAAATCCTGTTGCTATTAATAAACAAAAGTAGAAAGACTTACTCTAAGGCCTGCCATTGTAGTACCATAATTCTTGTACAGTAGATTACACAAGTCATTGATTTGCTCTCTTCTATGCCAAGCTTTTCGACCATATAATCTGTGAAACATATACACGACAAATCAGACACCATATAAACATAACATAAATTTATCGAACAGTATGAAACAATCTTACCTTGAATGTTCTTAAGAACTGATGTAGCCAGGCCAGCACTGAGGGGATAAAGAGTATCATCAAGATCTGAAAAAGTACAAATTCGGATTCAGTTACATTTTTCCCCAAATATTGAAACTTAAACTAGTCGTAAATTCAGAAGACACTAACTAAATAGAAGACAATCATATTTTGATCTCTGAACCTGCCCATATCGATGCTCGTATTCCATCTTGATCTTGAGTAGGTAACTGAAATATGTAAAATTCAGATTTAGACTCTATATACAAGTTGCCATGGCAAGGAATCCTGCACAACTCCTTGACAAAATCTATATAAATGGACAAATTAGCAATTTCATAATCACTTCTGTATGTTGAGCCAAATATCGAAAAAATTAAAATTCCAGAAAATAAACTAAGAAACAAATTCATCAAAATAGAACCATTCACGAATTTGAAATCCAAGAAATTATCACTTTCTCTGACATTAATGTGTGCAAAAAATGGACTAAAAACAAAAACCACAAGTCCTCAAACCCATAAACAAAAAGTCACATTACCTTCAAATTTAAATGATTAATTCATTAAACCCATTAATCACCTAAAATGAACATAATATACATATGTACGGGTGCTTTAAACCCTGCTAAAGAAAATTAAACCCAAGATTGGAACATACCGGAATTCGAATGAGGATTGACAAGCAGAGAATCAAAGGGATAACGTGGAAACAGGAAGAGAGAAACTGCAGACTGCAATTTCTCTATAGAGTGATCGAAGAATGCAAAGAGAGGGGGAGGAAAAATGGAGGCATCAATTGAGTTTTAATGGAGGCCTCAGGTCCGGCCCTATCGCCGGTGTCGAGAGGAGAGAAGAGAGAAGCCAGCGGGGGATGGAGAGAAGAAGATATGGGACTTTGAGTTGAGAAGAGAGAAGCCAAGGACAAAAGCTGTGTTTCGCGTGTTTTGCAACTTTTACCTTAGAAAACATTGGAAACGCCCAAAACGAGATTTTTCTCGTTTTGGGTTTTTAGTACAAATTTTTTTTTTTTTTGTTTTCGAGAACGCATTTTCGAAAATAGGAAAGAGAACGCGTTTTCACTGTTTTGAAAAATTGAAAACAGAAAACAACCCGAAAACGGCAAAGAGAACAGGGCCTTATAGATTTCCCTCCAAACTTTAGGACATTTAGGTCATTTGGGGAATGTGATACATGGCGGATCCATATTGCCGGCCTTATAATCGATTCTATTATGAATATCACGTTTTATTCGTTAGTACACGTGTATTGTATTAACAGTCTGTATCTAGCTTGAATAGAGGAAATGTTCGAAAAGCTAGTGCAAACCATTTTTATGTTTCTATTACTCTGCCTTGTTAAAGGCTTCGCGAACATTTAGCCAAGTTTGCAGATTGAGTTATGAAACTTATCA